CAAATTTCACCAACCAGCCCCTATGGCCGCTGGGTAACCCAGGGAACAAAGGGTCATCGCAAACCACGCCGCCTGGGGCATGAAACACGGACCCTCGCACAGCAATCTCTCCAAGCTCCCTTTCCCCCAGGAAACCAAGAAACTTTCAAGGCAATCGAATAACCTAACCCCCCCCCCCCCCTAAGGGACCTGGGGAAGATGAGAAATCTCGACAAGGTTTCCTAGCCCAACAACAAAACGTTTCCACTCTGGAAAGATGACCAGCTCCACCGTCCAGGCCCTTCCCCTCTCCTCCATCTTGCGCTCTAACTCACTGTAATGCCTCATACCTCTGCTGCTCGTTGGTTGAGCGCTTTGCGGCACCCCGCTCGGCGACGGCCTGGGCTCGCGGGATCGCAGGTGTCCATAGGCCTCCCGACTTTGACAGTCGCAGCGCTAGAAAGCCGTGGCTTTCGCGCCGTCACGTTGGTCGTTCGGCCTGCAACGTGGGTGAGGGGCTTTTGGTGTTGTTAGGAGGCATGCTGTTTGCTGGCGAGTGCCACGAGCAACCTTATTCATCAAGCCTAGACGGCCCTGGAAAAGGCTTGGCTCAAGCGCAAGATTGGATGTGAGTCGAGTTGATTGCGTGAGATGAGCCAGGGCGACGCATTTCAGCAAGTCACGTGTATTCGTGTCAATGGTCAGAAACGACGTCGTCCGCGCCTTTGCTCGCTCACCTACCTAGTAAGAGCCCACAGTTTGTGGCCTTCTCACTGTCAGGTCAGGCCTGGCAGCCAGCTGTCAGCACAAACCTGTCACTCTTCCGCGTAGGTGCACGGTCATTGGGCGATGGGCCATTCTCTGACCCAAAGGCCAACTCCCTGCTCTGTACCCGAGACCACATGCCAAGGGCAAAAGCCGATTGTAAGGCCTGGCTGAGCTCTTTGTCGCCATCCAGCATGCACAGCCAGAGCTGATCGCCGTACCAGGCAAATGGGCGTCGGCACCGCTGGCTAAACCGGTGACGTGGCAAGCCTCAACAAAAACCTGCCTCGAAAGGGCATCGGTCGTCAGAAACCCCCATCAGCATGATGCGCATTGTCGAAGTTGTGCCTCCACACCACGAGCGACTCATCATCACACTGCTCGATCGGACTTGAATGGCTTCGTCCAACCGGCGCGCCATTTTTGATTCTCAACGGTTGATCCCAGGTCGCACGACCTGCCGAACCGAAAGGCAATATGGCACCCTAAGTCTATGATTCGGATGTGCCAGAACACAAGGCATACCCACGTTTCTCCAGGTGCCTCAAGTCATGCCGCCGGCTATGTACCACTGGGTCAGTTTATCTTGGCTACTGAGCTGACAGCTGTTCATCCATGGCCATCATTCCACCGGATTTGCTATGTCGAGCAGCCTCGCCGAGCACCCTGTCGTGCATTTTGCACTTCAACCATCTTCGTGATTTGGATGATTCGAAGAAGCCCCGGAGTTGCTGGATGGCCCTGTGCGCTTCCATCTTGGTACACGGCAACCCCCGGATTTGACGAAACAACGTTGAAGCATGCCATCGCACAGTTTTCTGGCTGCTGGGTCCCGGCAGGCTGGATGGCTCGTTGGAAGCGCAATTCTCAAATTCGCGAACGCGCACACTTGCGCATGACGCCGTACCAATGAGGTTACGATGGTGGCCATCCCGCATGTGCCTCGATCTGACAATCTGGCTACCTGATATTGGTTTCCACCCCCCGACCTCCAGAATACATACCCTACATTCCCCTTTGCTAGCCCATTAAGTTTCTTTCATCTCTCATTCTACTCTCGAGTCTATGTGTCTTGCATTCCAGCCTCGTACTGAGTCGACGTTCTTCTCAATAGGTTCTTCACGAAAACTATGAGCACCGACAAATTACCTCCCCTTGTGCCCTTTGCAGGCGGTCGAGGATATCATAGAGGACCGAACCTGAAGAAACAGAGAGCAAAGAGCAAGCTTCTTCTCCGGAAAAGCCACCACGTGTGTCAAAAGAAGAATGGCAGATCCACAGAGAGACTATTATAGAATGCTATGCGAAGTCAGATCTCCGCGAAACGATGGACATCATGGCCCAGAAGCATGGGTTCCTTGCTTCGTGAGTTTCGACCCGTTCTGCAGCGAGATATACAGTACCTGCGTACCTGAATACACACTCTGACTGAACCTGTCAACCCACAGAGCACGGCAATATGTGTATCATTTAGGGATGTGGGGCGCTTCACGGTATATGTTAAATTCGTCAAGGGAGAAGGCACTGTCGGCGTGCAACGACCACGATAGTGGTTGCAAGGTTGAACCCCCAGCGGGTCTCGTGACCCAATACACTGCTTTCTAACCAGGTACGAGCAAATAGGAAGACAAACCTGGTATTTCGAAACCATCAAGCAGCCCAGAGGCCTCGTCTCAGCATCTCTCAGGGCTAGTCACTGAGTTCATTGTTGAGCAGGTCCTTTCAGGCTGTGTGTTTGTCAGCGACACCTACCAAATCTCTGCCAGCTTTCGGCTGCTCGCTCTCCATCAGAGATATCAGTCATCTCTTTTGGACTCCGTGGCGTTCGGACACACATTTAGTCGTGACCAGATTGAGGCACAACAAAGTGATTTGCGCGGAGTACTCCAAGATGAGCATCACCATCTCATCGGGACCTTGTGTAGTCTTTGGACCCACACTGAATGGTCGAGAAACAAAAGTCTGAGCTCCTGGTTTCTGGAACATCTGGCCAAGAATTGTGAGGTGGCTCTGGGAAAGAGCCACATCATTACGAGAGTATTCGAGGAGATGCATGCCCACCCAGAAAGGTCCGATCCCTTGGAGTGCCTTGATCTTTTGGCCCATCTGCCAATGATGTTTTTTCATCCACGGAAGGTTGGTGTTACCTTGGAAGACCCCACAGGGAAACACTTCTCCTGGTTCAAGTGCGAAAAGCATCGACGACTACAGTGAGCCAAGCGAGTCTGGCCCTGCTAGCCAGTCAGTACAGCTAGCTCGCCGTTCCGGAGTAAGGCCCGCCATTGGTTCTTGTACCCATCAACGAACTCTGGATTGGGTAGGACAACGAGGCGAGGACAGCAAGCAAAGCATAGAGAAACCTGCCAACATGGCAATATCCCTGCCGGATACTTCCCTCCCGAAAAAGGGGCCAGGCTCTTTGCCGACAGCAGCCAATGACCTCGATATCCAACAGACACATCAGCATCACTCATTGGCCTCCAACAGTGAAGACGACTTGTCTATCAGCGAGGCGACGTTTGTGTCGGAAGCAATTGACTCATTGTCAATAAGCAAGCAGCAAATCGTCGATGGCATTGTGGGATTGTACGTGGAACAAATCGATGATTGGACGACGAGACTAGCAAGCTACGTCAAGGGTGCAACCGGGACGATCGAAACTGGACATGGGAGCCACAAATCGCAGGACCTGTCATATGTGCCCGCTGGATCAACATCTTGTCCAAGTCAGAAACGAAAGCGCCAGGTGGGCGATGGCAGAGACGAAGATCGTGAGGATGACGACAGCGACTCTCGAGGCAAGAAACCGAAACCCGACAATGACGCCAAAGACGGTAATTGTGCTCCTCTGGCGTGTCCGTGCTATAAATTTGATCGATGGCCATGCGAGCTTCGGTCATGCAAAGGCCCTGAGTGGCCAATGGTTGTAAGAGTCAAGTATGGTGCAACACGAACCCTCTTCGTCCAAAGTTCTTGCTTACACAACAAAAGGGAGCATGTCTATCGATGCCACTCCGTTCCCAAGTACATCTGTATTAGGTGCCAACGGGACCTGAAGACCGCAGCATTGCTCCAAGATCACGCCCAGGAAGCACAATCTTGTGAGCAACAGACCCCAAGGTTTACATATCAGGCTGGTCAGGTCTTGGAATCGAACCTGAGGAACAGACAAGGACTCAACAAGTTGGATCGCTTGGAGAAGTGGCGAAAGGCATACAAGATGATATTCGACGTTGAGGACAGCCACATTCCCGATCCGCGTGAGTACATCCATATTGTGTCGATATCACGCTGAGCTACAACGTTGACATTCTGTCAGGCATGGGGTTCGGAGACAAGAGTACACCAGAATCGCTAGGAGACTTCCTGAGGAGGGGGATGCCTGGCCAAATCAGGAGGCTTGCGACGGCTGAGGTCGACCGACTTTTTGTGCCACAGGCAGAAGCATGCCAGGCTCTGATGGTGAAACTCATTGTAGGCCTTGAGCGACCCCCGGGGCAGAGGTTTCGGGCCTGCATGAACAAACCTCCGACAACACGCGGCCGGTGTATAAGGACCATTTCTGGTGTACCCCCCGCGGGTGTTCCCATCAGTTCGCCATTTTCACCGTCACAGGGGCCGTCAGGGTTCTCGCTGCCGTCTTCCGGTCACGAGAATACACCCATGAGCTCGGACGGCCAGCCTGGCTCCAGCCGAGTCGACTCTGCCCAGTCCAGGATTTTGCGACCTCACCAGCACCGGCCCAGCCGAGAGACGCACGAAAGAGGACGAGAAGTTCTATTTGATAGAGCTCACGAGTGCCCCAAACCCAGTGGGCTGGGCAATACTATAGCCCGGGACTTATTGAACCTGTAGCCTATCTTGACCCAAGCTTGGCCAATCTCTTGACACCATCCGCCAGCGCACCGCATCAGCAACATCCTCTCGATCCATGGAGCGTGAACGCGCAACGGTATGGCGCTCATGTCTCCGGCGCCGACCCATTTCAAAGCTCCTTTCAAAGCTCCTTCCCAAACGATTTCCAGCCTTACAGCGCCTCTGATTTTCCGCGTCATGTTGATGATAATGTAGGGGACACTGCCTCGGAAAGGGGCCAAGGGGGAGCAAGCAGGGAAGGCTGGGAAGCCGTCGGTCACGATGGAGATGGACAAGGTATGGTAGATCTGCATGGAGAGGGTGACCATATTTGATTGGATTTATTGCAATGCCAGGCACTGAAGCATAGCGAGTAAGCTTAATGAAAGGATGCCACGAACGTGATGTATATACACTTTTGGTGCGTCTTGAAGGTGGTACCTTGAACCTTGGGAGACATCCGGTTGATAAGGACCACCGTAAGGACCACCGTAACTACCCCGCCCCCGCACGTTCGACGTTCAGAAGCTCCGTTTCAGCAGTGTGAGGACGAGGTGGGGCCCAACCCGACCCTGACTTCCCACGTCCGTCCCTCACCCAGGTGACGACGCCCGATGCCCAAGGCTCCTGAAAGTTCCCTAGACTTCCCCAAACCTCACCACGAGCATCCTCAGCCTTCTCTTCCGCGACGACCCCATCCAGGACAGCCCTGGAGGCACCGCCACCTTCTTTTCTGACGTACGACCCACCCCAGCCAACTGTTCATCCTTCCCCCCTTCACGGCAACGACGAAGACCCCGCCAGCCCATCATGACGACCTTCTCGACCGACCCAGCCCTCTATATCTTCACCTCCCTGACAGCCGGCTCCTCGCACATTGTCACAGCCACGTCCCGCCTCGAGACCATCCTCCGCGCGAACCGCGTCCCCTTCAAGGCCGTCGACCTCGCCACCGACCAAAAGGCCCGCATGCTCTGGGGACGCCGCGCCGGCAAAGATGCATCCGGCCGCGTGCGCAAGCTGCCCGGCCTGGCGCAGGAGGGTCTCATCCTCGGGGTAATGCCCCGTCTTCATTCATCCCCTCCCCTTCCATTCGTCACACCACAGCTAACGCAAAGGCCCCCCTACCAGGACCTCGTCGAAATCGAAGACTGGAACGAGTACGGCGAGCTGAGGCAGCACGTCAAGATCTACTACGACGAGTTCACCATCCCCACCATCCACAACAAGCCGAAAGACCCGCCGAAACGATTCGTCCACCCCATCACCGGCGCCCCCGTGAAGGGCGGGTCCAAAGCCGGTTCCAAAGCTGCGGCCGGTGCGGCGGCGGCGGCGGCGGCAGCGTCAGCCTCGTCGTCGTCTTCCGCGAAGCCCGCTGCCCCGCCGGCCGCCCCGCCGCTGCCCCCGGCCGATGAGAAGAAAGCGGCCACCGCGGCGCCGGCGAAGAAGGCCAAAACGGGCGAAAAGGTGACGATGCCGATCCGCTCGATTGCCGACGAGGCGCCCCAGAAGGCGATGGACAGCGTCGCGCGACGCTGCGCGAGAAGGTCCACATCAGTGAGGCTAAGGGTACAAAAGGACAAGATTAAAGCCATAGTATACGCTTACGAATACTTACTTGCTGAGCTCGCCAAAAAAAATAGGCGAGAAA